TAGAAATTATGTGATCTCGATATTGACCATTCAGGACAATCTTTATAGTCACATCTTTTGGCTTAGTGTTATTAGTATGATCCTCTCTTTTCTCATATAAGATGTCATATTCACTTCAAGGATTGGACCATGAGATGCAATTCATGAATTTTGTTGAAAAATCCAACAATTTCTACCATTCGTAAAAAAATGTAGATATATCATATAATTATCTCATCACAATTAAAATTAAGTCTGCGAAGTCAAACTCACAGCATACCAATGATTAAAGATCTAATAAGTGATGATTATTATATACCATCAGAACAATGTTAAACGAAACCAATATAATAGATCTCTATAGTCAAACAATATAGCAMGTATTATCAWCACCAAATACTTGTTCASTCCGATCATGCCATTAAGCTAGATTTTTAATGAATKAATTACAAAATAATTCATCACTGTAAATTATCATCAGCTACGTTTTGACAAAATAACTTTTTAAACTAATTGACGAACATGAATAATATTATAGTGTTAATGCAGATCATGTTTAATAGACAATTCATATTAATAATATAATAATTAACAAATGAGCAAAGCTATACATCAAAATTGTCATGCTTCACTAACATACTAAACCATCAATATTAAAATAATACTAGGCATGAGATCTGCTCTATTGAGTATGATGATTAATAAAACATGAAATTAATTTACRTCGATTAGAGCCATAGCAGAGACAAAGCGGAGACGACTTAGTCAMGAAAGACTTTTGTATTTAACGCCCATCAAAATAAATTATCTATCAGAGGTAAAGAATTGGTTACAATCAAAACATCTCAAGTTATATATGCACTGTTAATCCATTCATTATTCAAAAATAGAGGATCCATGGTTTTCTTAATCAAAATACCAACAATTTACGATGTACGATAATTAGAAAAGATCAACAACAACCAAAACGACATATACCAAACAACCAAAACATATATTAAATTAATGATTCTTTTGTTAATTTAGAATGAACGACATATACGGCTAGGGTTTCGTGCTCAGACGGCTAGACTCTCGTGCTGATAACG